TAATTAATATTTATTTATATATTGTAATATATTATATATATTTTATGTAAAAATGTTAAAATATTCTTTGTATTATAATTTTTACAATTTACTTTTCATTACTTTTATTTTGTTTAAATGAGGAAAAACAATATGTATACTAGAAAGTTCAGTCTATAGAATTTGCTAGAAACAATTTTTAAAAGGTCGTTAGAATATACATACACATGTATAGATATCCGATACTAAGTTTAAAAGCAAAAAATTATTGTATTAGTCATAAACAATTTAATAAATATTATACAATTACTTCTGGTGATTTAAGCATTTTGATCAAATGAATTATGTATAATAAAAGCATAAAAATGCTATTATATTTTTATTTGTTCTAAATATTTAAAATTTACAAGAGAAGGATTATGTTCGTGATATTATTGAATATTTTAATTAAATAAGTAACTAACATATATTTTAATAAATAAGTAACAACGAAATAACTATACAAAAATATAAAAATAACAAATAAATTAAGCAACATAGACTGTGTGCTAGGGTTTTTAACCTGCATGTATGTGTAGATTCGTATACAGATGTTATACAACACTCACTCACTGTGGACGTTTCTCGAATTCTCTTGAAACATCGCGCTTGTGCGAACTTTTGCATAAATAGAGGGGAGAGTACAGGCTACTGGCAGTATTTCGTTAGCATCTGAAGAGTGAATATCGCGAGTTCGAGCGAATTTCACATAATTTGAATTAAGAGAAGTGTTATATATCGATACATTTGTCAATAATTTTAAATTATCGTAAAATGTCTCTGTTACCATTGCTGTTCTCTGAATGGTGGGAAGCTTTGGATCGCCCGCATCGTCTTTTGGACCAGAATTTTGGATTGGGCCTGTCTCCTGAGCAGTTGCTGTCGCCAAGCCGAATGGAAGTCTTCGTGCAACCGCGAAGAAATATTTACGCGAACAGACCATGGTCTGAGCTACGGAACACCGAAAGAGGCACCTCGACTGTTCAAGCAGACAAAGATAAATTCCAGGTCGTACTTGATGTTCAACAGTTTAAACCGAATGAAATCGACGTTAGGGTCGTTGATAAATTTGTCGTTGTTACGGCTAAACACGAAGAGAAACGTGATGAACATGGATGGATTTCTCGTCAGTTTTCGAGGAGGTATTTGATTCCAGAGCAATGTGATATCGATCAGGCTGCATCGAAGTTATCGTCGGATGGCGTACTTACTATCACCGTACCAAGAAAGCATGAACCAAACATTGAAAACGAACGAGTAATCAAAATCGAACATACTGGCAAACCTGCACTGCAAATGAGAGTATCTAAGCAGCAGCAGCAGCAGCAGCAGCAGCAGCAGCAGTCAGTGAAGCAAGGGGAAGAAAACGAAGAAAAGCAGTAAAAATTCAAATATTCCTGCCATTCATGATACTGGCTATTTATAATACATATTACTCATATATTCCTCATTTAACTACTATTAAATTTCTATCGCAACATTTTATCGAAACATATAAATGTAGTTCATAATACTTATTGTAAGCAAGTTTTGTTCTTGTTTCATGTTCCACACTTCCATAAATACATATGTGAATGTACATATTGTATACTCACTTTCTGTCTATATGTAAGATTTATGTCATTTTTTTATGTTTTAATAAATTTTTAAGTTATTCGTATAAATGTCTTATAAATTATCGTTTTAATCACCATTACCTTCTAACCTTAAAATAATAAAACTTTAAAAGCGTTAACAATGATATTTTAACGTCTTCTTGGTAAATATAGAATCTTAGTAATTAAAAATTCGTTATATCATATTGTTAATTTATTCGATAAAGATCGTTAACTATCCTAAATTATTATATCACTTTTTTTATATATCATTTTTATATTTTTTTTGTCAGTTTTTACGCAAGTTATATTGAACTCTTAATGGTTCATTCCTGTGACATATAAGGTTATGCTAAAGAATTACATCAAATAAAAAATAAAATGTAATGTTTCAAACAAAATCACTTTTTATATACTTTTTTTACATCGTATATTTCTTGATTTGTATGTGTTTGACGCTAAATTGAAAAAAGTGTGCATCGAAGAGTTAAGAATTGTACTATTTTGTCACCTAACCAATAAAGAGCCGCTAGAATATGTGTAACATTGCAATGATATATAAGAAAAATGACGACATAACGAAACATAACCTTAACGATACCGGCATAATATATATACAAAACACGTAAAATACGTGTACCATTATAACGAATATAAGTCATACGGGTATAACAAAACATTTCTTAATTTTTATTATTCATATCTATCATTTATTCTTACATTTATCATACAATATCCAATATTTTTCTTTGACATACAACAAATAATTCATAAACACTTGCACACTCTAAAGAACATAGTAAAAAACGGGTAAAAATACTAAGAGTATAAAGTTGATTGACAAGTTTCTATTGACGTTGTTTTATTTTTTCAACTTCTTTATCATCTATTGGTTTTCCTGTTTGTTCGATTTGAATGATCTTTTCTTTCTTTCTTTCAAGAGCTTCTGGCTTTATTGGTGCTGTTATTGTTAAAACACCATCCGTAGATAAACTGCTCGTAGCTTTGTCAGGATCACATTGATCTGGTACTAAATACTTTCTAATGAAATGTCTGGAGATTATACCGTGATCGTCAGCTTTTTCCTCGTGTTTCCCTGGAAAAGTATAATTTGGTCAAAATTAATCGAAATATGCAAAAAGCATATAATCTAAAGCAATAATCTTCATAGTAAATAAAATTAATATATATGAGAATCGTTAGCTATATTTTCTTACACACATACATATACGAACACACACCAATGTGCGACGCAATAAGAAAAACGCGCATATACGATTTATATCCTAACCTCGTCTTCGGTCGAAATGGAAATAAATGAACATAAATGTTTACTATAAAAACACTTACCCTCTACAACAATGAAGTTGTCAACAACTTTCACATTCACTTCTTCTGGTTTAAATTGCTGTACATCGAGAATCACACGAAATTTATCCTTGTCATTTTTCATTATGGACCAACCACTTTCTTCGTCTCGTTCCCAGTCTATCCATGGTCGATAGTATGGATACATGCTAACCGGAAGTTTGTTTTCAAATACTGAATTAAAAAATTGTTCCGGTCGCAAAGCTTTTCCAAAATGTTGATCAGCCAACCGGTGTGGTCGTTCCAACATTTCCCACCAATGGGAAAATAATTTGGGAATCAATGTCACTCCTCTTCTCATTTTTCTTTCACGTTTTATTTGACGCTTCCTTGAAGAATGGGTTTAACTTTGTTATGTTGCGAAAACTCGTGTGCACTGCTCGCTTGGTCTCGTAACACTGACGCAGTTAGCTAGCAACGGTTTTCTATATATAGTCGATGGAAGCATCAGAATCGAACTGAGGTAAGAACATTCGAGATTTTTCACGAAAATTCGAGAAAGTTCTTTCACATTCTACAAATTTCAGTGTATAATACTGAATATAATATCGTTTGGCTATATATCAGTGAAAGCATTTTTATTGGTACTAAACCATCTATGTTTAAAATATTTTAACGGGAAACAGATGATACATATTTCTGGTAATATTAAATTTCAAGGAAAATGTCAGTCTTCGTTAATTTGCAATTATATTAAGAAATAAAAAAGGAAGCGTAAAGTTTAAAAATTACGAATATACATTGAAATAAAAATATATTTTATTACAGGAATATTAGTTTCATACACGTGTACTATAAGTTCCAAAATGAGAAATAAATCTATTTTATAGTATTTTATATTAATCGAAATTGTTACAAGAATTAATTATATGGGCTGTATCGAATAATAAATTGAAAAATTAACTGTTAAAGAAAAATATTTTAATTCTTCGATTGAGATGATTGTAATTGATGATTCATAGTTTACGTGTACCTTCAGATTTCAGATTTTATAATGTAAGTTTATCATACTTTATTTTGCTCAGTTCATCGTGGCTCATTTTCTGAAAATTTCTAGCAAGTCTTACACTACTTATTTAAAATTTCTGATAAGTTGCATCAACTTAAATTATCACTAAAGGTTCTGCAACATTGCATCAGCATTGTGATACCTATATAACAAAGATATCTATCTTTATCGTGTCTAAAATTGAAATATCAATTAACCTATCGAATACTAGAGAGTATGTACATTTATGCATACGTATGATCCATAATTAATTAATACGAATTATTAATATATTAGTATATTTATTATACATTAATTCGGTAAAGGAATCAATAATATATTAAATTTTTTGAATATATAACATCCAATCTTGATCTTTTGTTTAATAAAATAAATGTTTATGTTATTAATATTATTGTAATATATTACTATATTATAATATTATATATTACAATATATGTAATATATTTATATATTATTATGATGCAATATATTATTAACATTTATTATTGTAATAAATTTTGATAATATATTTTTTTAAACGTTTTACCGGTTTGTATTAAAATGATATTTCATTTAAATTTATAATTCTAACGATACACTCGGTTTTGTTACGTGCCTACTCGTATCGATTTCTTCGAGAGGTAGTTCTTAAAAGAAACACTGACCACGCACAACGTTACGTAATTGCGTAATCATCAACGTCGTACTTGTTTTCTCACTATCGTTCGTTTAAATTAATTTGTAACTTATAAAGTGATAAATTTATTAATAATGATATGCCAATTATTTTATATATACACAGTATCTAATTAAAAAATTATTTACATCGATAAAAATGAAAGAAATTCTTAATATAGGTATAAATTTATACACATTGAATAATAGTTATTCGATAGGCGTTATAAAAACTTTTTATAATGTTCAGTGATAAAAATGATAGCAATTCATTCTTCTTTCTGTCGGAATGGTTTAACTCCTTTAAGAGGAAAGAATAAACAAGAAAGAATAAAGAAAGAGAAAGGAAGAATAATGTTTAAAATGAATTTTGATACGCAAATAAATGATTTTTTTAAAAGATCTGCCTCCTATTTCTTACATTTATTTCATACTAATTGAATATTTATTGTTAATTGTATGAATCATAATTTTTCTTTACTTATGAAATGACTAAAACTTTCTTCCCAATTTTTTCCAGTTTTATTTCATGAAAAAACATTGTCAAATAATTAATGTATATTTCTATATTTATTAAATGATTGCAACATTTTTACTATAAAATACAGTACGCTATTTTTTCTGCTACCTTTTTGTTAAAACCAGAATATTTTTTCCAATAAAATGTAGTAAAATATTTAATGTATATTTCTAAATTTATTAAATTGAAATGATCTTTACAAGATCTACTTAAAACTAAAAAATAGTATCATTATATTTTCCAAAATTTGAACGATAAACTCTCTTTCCCCAATTTTATTTCTAATATTTTTATAGCTTTGCAAGATTTTAAACGTTGCACATATATAAATATATACATATATATTTAAACTGAATAGTTAATTAGAAAATTTTGCATTTAATATATCTAGATCTGAAGATCAGTAAAAGACATTTATAATATATTTTAATCGTTAAAAAAAATTTTCTTTTTTAGTCGATGAGTGTCCTAAACGTTGCTGAAAAATCAAAGTCAAATTTTAGTGAAATTTTTCATACAATTTTAGGCTAGCATGGAAAAGTACCTAAGCGATACCTGCCTTCGTGCGTATTTGGAGCAGAAACTGCGTAGAAGCGTCGCCACAGGCATGTCGCAGACACGTAACCAGTGCCAAATAAATAACAAGGGAACAGAGTGCTAAATGCAATCATTCCTTCCATGTAAGAAGTGCTAAAAATTTCAAACAGATCATCGCGAATGGCTAAACTTGTTATCGAATTTGAATCGTGAGATTGCAATTTTTGAATCCTATTTTTAAATATCAATAATATCTACATTTGCATTAATTTACATTTTAATAGAAGCCTACATTAAAAAAAGATACTGCTACTAAATGTACTGACAAAATATTCGACATAAAAGAAAAAGAGAAATTTATATTTTCGAATATCTTCTACAGGTGTCAAAAATATTTTGATCAAAAGTTTACTTTAGTGATTTCGCTCTAAATTTGTTCATTTCTTTCCAGTTTTATAAAAAACTACTGTCTGTTAACATCATTGAAAAATTTACTAATTTTTTGATAAATTTTGAAGCGCGTAACAGAGGACGAAAATATGAATAATTTTTATTTAAGAGATAATTTCCTCGCGACCTTGATTTCAGAAATATTTGCTAAAATTATTGATTTTTACTATATCGAATGTCATTATGAAAGTAGAATAACAATAAATCGAAAATTCAGAAGAATATTATCGTTTATTTCTTGTCACATTCATTTTCAGTTTTATTACGATAAAACAAAACTATCTTTGTTAAACTAGCAAAGAATCGAAGCATTAGGTTGAATTTGCAGCTTTGTTGTAATTTATGTTATATTTAAAGCGCGAAATTTTAAATATTTCGAAACGAAACATATACATTGGTATATGGATTATTCGAATTAATTTTGAGACAAATTCGTCCAGATAATTATAATCTTGAATTATATCACAAATTAACTAAAGATGAAAATTCTTTTTTAACTATTAAAATATATTATAAATGTCTTTTACTAGTCTTCAAATCCACATGTAAGTGCAAAATTTTCTAATTAACTATTCAGTTTAAATATATATGTACAACCCTTTAAGACCTTGCAAAACTATAAAAATAATAGAAATAAAATTGGGGAAAGATAAACCTTTATGATACTATTTCTCAATTTTAAGTAGGCCCTATAAAAATCATTTCAATATAATAAATTCAGAAATATACATTAATTATTTTACTATATTTATAATATAGTAATATCACATAACAAAATTTTTGTATTATTCTTTTATTATATTTTATAACAGAAAGATAAGTGACTGTACTCGGAGAATCAGTCATTCGCATAATCAAAATTCTCCTAATCAACCTCGGATAATCGACGTTCCACTGTGTACGTAGCTTATATTACGTTTATAATAAGAAGATGAGACGATGTAGAAAAGATTACGAAAGTTCCATTCGTGTACGTCAGAGTACTATGTCTACTGCGTGGATCCCATGAGCTGGGATGAGAAGGTTATGGCTAAATTACGACGCATTCAGGCTTTTGTCGATATTTTGCTCTCCAAGGTCCACGTACAAAAGCCTCGTTATATCCATGACGCAGATGAGTCAGAGGGTAACTATTGTTGCGATAAAACATATGACAACTTTGGTCTAGAATCGTGTAAAATATTATATAATTGTTAATCATCCTTATGTCTGCCACTAAAAAATTTAAAAAATCTGCATTGATGAATTTTTTTGCATAAATACCGTTCTATGTCTTTCCACGGGTGAAAGTTAATCTAATTCTAGAAGTGAATTTTTTACCGAATTTGATAATTAATTAAACGATTAAAATCGATGTGGATTTTTGAAAATCGTGTGAGTTGAATTAAACTTTCGCGCTGGAAGATTTTTTCGCAGTAAAAGCAGCAGTTCGAGGCTTTCCCTGTATTTTTATAAGCTCGTTGATACCTTTTATGGTAAAATAAAAAGAAAAGCTTGTATTTTCGTGAAAAATGAATATATAGAATTATTTTATTTCAATATTTCTTGTATAGTTATTCTTAATATATCGTCTCTTATTCTTTATAAAAAATGTTTTTTCTTTTAAATTTTATATTTTTATATTTAATATTAATTTTAATTTCTTTAATTTTAATATTATTAAATGTATTTTCTCAATAATTTAAAAAAGAAAGATAGACAAAAATTTACCTTTTGAATGAAATTATAACATTGACTGAGAGTCACACAGTGCAGTGTTAATTTTAATGGGAATTTAGAATTTGAAAGTATTAATTAACGTGAATTTTTTCGCGAATCGTTTCGAATTAATTAAATAATTAATAGCAATGAATAGAAAGATATAGTAGTATATTTTTCGTATCGATAATATTGTGCAAATGTTACAAAAGATACGAGTTACAGATTTAGCGGTGTGTGTATAAAAATATTTTGTGCATATTAATTAAAAATATGTCCATTTAGATCGAATGACTCGACATGTAGTGCATAAAAATTATCGATATACGACTGCACTGTAATAAATTTGAACATACTGTAGAACCTGTTTTCTCTGATGGAACTATCTGACGTCTGGTTTGGGAAAATGTAAGATACACCCAGATAAGCTGCGTGTTTTCTACGTGATTATTATTTAAAAAATATTCGCGAGGAAAATACATTTATCGGGGATTACAGCTCATCCCCAAGAGGTGCGATATATTGCTGGAACGTGTTTCTGTCTTCAGCTGTAAACAGCTTCCGCAGACTCGTCTCTGTACCATATGATCCTTTATTATTGTACATAAATTTTTCTCGTTGGTTGAAATAACAAGAAATCAGTTGTACAAATTTATTCTTGTCTTTTGCAGTAATCCGAGTGCATTTTTGTCGCAGATGAATATATAAATAACCAATTTGCATATAATTGAAAAAATATTTAATTTTTAATATCGCAAATACCTTACCATCTTTTATCACGTTATTCGTAAATAGCAAAGTAATTAACTCCTGTTTGATTTTTCGTCAATTTTAATTCCGAAACAGTTGACCAATGTTTAACGTTTTGCAATTAAAGTTTATTCGTCTATTTTCTATTTTACGTAAATTTTTGTCGTCTCATGGAATTAATCGATTCGATAAATGAGTAACCTATACGTAGAAAGTTCGAATAATGAAAATAACTTTATAAAATATTGTATCGCTGTTGATGTTAGTATTTCTATTTTTGTACGCATGATAAGTTCCAACTGTGATGATAATTCAAATGTACACGTAGGAGACACTCGTGTCATTTCATTATCATTACGTATGTATGACTCAGTCAGGCGCAATCGCAAAATTGTAATTGATCCGGTATCTCTGTAGTGTCGAATGTATCTGGAACTTTCGAGAAAGAAAATTTCGAACTTTCTATTTAACATTGTAGATCACGAATTGGAATAAATCGAAGACAATAATTTCAATAGAAAGATTTTTTAATTTATATTTAATAATGATAGTTCATAAATTTCGAAGACGAGATATAATTATTATTCAAATTTAATTAAAATTTTATACAGACTTACGTTTCAGTTAATTCACGTTAATTAACGGTTTTATTTTATTATCTTACTAATAAAGTAAACGTGGTCCAATAAATCAAGGTTTCCAGAACAATTGTAAACGAAAGAGTATTATCTGCTTCAATTCTTCACATTCGCACTGGAAAGAAAACAACAGGGAACTGTAGAAAAACAAGATCATCTTCTTCGTCGTGTACTTGACACACTCATCGTATCTCTCGAGTATCCGTGTGAAAAGAATGTTTTAATACAGCTTTATAAAGCTTCTTAAAAAGCACGTCATTAAATGCAAGCCGAATAAAATGATATTGTATTAAAATATCAAGAAAAATTCGAAATATCAACAACTCGCAAGATAGAACAAGCTTAGTAAGTTACTTTAAATTTACAGAATAGCCAACAGTAACAAAATCCATTTCCAAATGCCTCCACCAAAATATACCACGATAAATTACGAATTTAAAGGTCGAATTACCATATAGAAATGCAAATTTCTCGAAAGGAGGCAACGGAGAGACAACTCTTAATGGTTGTCAGTCTCTTAATGTTAAACTCCAGCGGAATGGCAATAAAACGTGGGTAGCCATTGAATGAGAATAATGCACGGGACAAAACATCCGTAGTGGCAAACGAACAAAATGGAAATAAAACGGATAAAACGTTTAAAGAACGTTTCCGAACGAACCTCGAACGTTCTACGTTTCTGACGCAACGCGAACGAAACGTAACGTGACAAAGAGAAACGTGGTGATCAGAGCAATCACGGCTAAATTCGCGGACATTGAGGGAAAATAACGGGAACATTAACCGTTTCAATTGTTTAATCGGTTAACGAATCATGAATGACAAAACAAACACGTCGATGGCATGCCTTACCCTAGTAGCTTCTCGAAACATCACGATATATAGCACGTCCCACTACTACAGCCGACACCACATAAATAGCGGTCGCCGAAGGCAAAACTCCAGTTGAACCCCAGACATTGGACATATCGTCGAGGAAAGCGTGATTCATCTGCTTATTTTCACTCCGACGAATTTCGCCGAATCTACGAGGAATTTGCGAGGAATCTACGAGTGTCGAAAAGAGGAAACCTAACCTAGACAACGAATCGACCATAAGCTGACGATGTCGTTGTTACCGTTGCTGTTCTCCGCCTGGTGGGCGGACTTGGATCGGCCACATCGTCTCTGGGACCAGCATTTTGGCATGGGTCTTAACCCTGACCAGCTGGTTTTGCCCTCGATGGACAGATTCTCACCTCTGATCGGCAAGTCTCCTTTGGATTTTTACTATAGACCGTTGACCGAGTTTTTGCGCCGTGGCGAAGGTGGCACGTCGACCATAACCGCGGACAAGGACACGTTCAAGGTGATATTAGACGTGCATCAGTTCGCGCCAGACGAGATCAACGTGAAGCTAGTGAATCGGTTCGTGGTGGTCGAAGCCAAACACGAAGAGAAGAAGGACGAGCATGGTTTGATCTCGAGGCAATTCGTGAGAAAGTACTACCTACCCGAGCAAGTGGACGAGGATAAGCTGGCGTCCAACATATCGTCCGATGGCGTGCTGACAATCACGGCACCACTGAAGCAGACCGAGGAAACGTCCAACGAGAGGACCATCAAAATCGAATTCACGAACAAACCTGCCATTCGTACTAGTGTATCATTTGAAGAACCTGCTATCACCACTACTACAGAGTCTAAGAAACAGGATACCGAGCAGAGCCGCGAGGAAGTGACTGAAAATGCGACCGAGGGGAAGCCTGAGAAATAAGACTTGATTTTTGCATTTAATTTATATTCCATGTGTACAATTTTATTGTTACTTCCATTTTTATATTCGACGATGGTAGATGTTCCACGTGTTATGTATGTTAAATATGTACTGTTGTAAAATGTTGTAGTAAGAAAGTGTATTAGTGTTTACTTTTTCATATTTCGTTAATAAAATTTAATATTTTGGCGATCTTTGACGAATTTATTCCTTCCTTTCGAAAAACTTTTTGATATCACTTTTTTAATTCGAACTATCTCGAATAATCGTTAGCTAAAATTGTTTCGAAATATTTTTCGTTGCAGGAATTAAACGAGAAGGGGATAAAAGATTAGAATTTTAATGTTTATCGATTTTTATGGTTTGCCTCTTTTATTTTGACACCATTTTTCGGCAAATGTGATTTTTCAAATTAAAAACGAATAATTGTTTATATATTTATCGTATAAATAAAATGTAAGATTTTGATATTTAAATTTTTGTTAAGAATTCGTATTTTACAAGATGTACGACTTTGTGGAATTAAATATTTTGCGAGCAGCAACAAGCCGGTTTTCATTTCCTCTAGATACTCGTATTACGGTATTATGAGTTCTACAATAGATAAACTAGATTCGTGAAACAATAAAGGTGTGTACATGTTCTTAGTAATACGTTGAACTCTGCCTTTCTCTTAACATTACGTGTAAACACATTTTTCTTCGTTACATCTGTCATTCTAATAATAATTATGGAGATAATTCCACCACGTTATCGGAAAATTGACAAATTGATATTACTCCATACAAAATATGTATACGATTACTATAATTTATTTCATGTGATAAGATAACGCGAAATTTACATTTAAAACTTATAAATGGTACTGTTTATTAAAGAAAGACAACTGTTATATTTGAGATAAAGATGTTGAAATAAAATGAAAAATAAGGATGCTTTGAAAAGAGAAGATACATTTATTTTTCTAATTTTTCAAACAATAAATGTCGATTTAAATGTATCAAGAGTCAATTGTTAATGCAAAATTTCACGAAATAATTTTTCAATTAGAATATATTTTGGCGGTTTGCAATCAATATCTTTAAAACGACCGCGCAAGCTCAGACAGCAAATTGTACACAAAACGACCATATTTGCGTGAATTGAACTATACACAATTTCATTGATTATACACTACATCTATTGATTATACATTACTCTAATATAGCAGATCCTATTTTTAAGGTTACATTTATACAAAGCGTTATTAAATTGATTTATTCTCAAGTTTCTACTTTGGCATGATTCAATGTGTAATTTTGCTCGCATGAATGTATTCTTATACCGAAATAACGCTAAAATAACAGATATTAGAAAATATATAAAAAATTTAAATTATAAATCGACAAATTTTTAAGATAAAATTCAATAAACTTTGATATCAAGCTAATGAATAAAAACTTTGTAATTTTCCATAAACTGACATATTTAATTTTCCACAGTGACGTATCTAAAACTTGTCAGAATCTCTCTTTTCATTGGTGAATATTAAATACTTTTTTTAACATTGTTTAATTTAAACATATAGAAATTTATCAACCTCGTGAAGGTTAACAATTTGTTATACTAAAAGTTTCAAACAGAATGAAAATATTGACATGGAATTATTTATTTAATTTCTACAACTTTCAGGAAATTACGTTTTGCGCGTGCTTACAAATTTCCTAGACGTATTCGACCGTACGATTGAAGCGCCTTCTCTTAAACATCACGGTCATGTTGGGAAATACAACAGTTCGTTCAGAGCGATCACACTGGTGTATCTGTTACGTAGCGATAAAACTATTTAAAGTCGCAAAACCGGGAACACAGAAGAATTACGACGTGCCGTGACAGTCGATTAACCTAAATTTTTCGACAGTCTGATCTACAAGAATCTAGATGTCTCTAAAACCTTCTACCTTCTGGACAGATCTGGAAACTGTCTGCCATATTCTGAATCAAACTTTGGGGCGTCTAACCTACCCGGAAATTCTAAACCCAAGAATCATGGGCATGCAAAAATGTGATTTGCCACTGCGAAAAAGAAAGTTATTTTCTCCCGTGGAGTATCACAGGCCGTCGTGTGATCTGCTGTTCAAAGGCGATCGTGGTGCTTCGACTGTGATGGCCGATAAAAACAATTTTCGAGTGGACTTGGACGTGCAGCATTTCGCACCGGAAGAAATTAATGTTAAAATCGTCGACTCTTATGTGATTGTCGAGGCGAAGCACGAAGAGAAGGAAGACGAGTACGGTTGGATTTCTAGAGAGTTCACGAGAAAGTATATCATTCCGAAACAGTGTGATATCGAACAAGTTTCTTCGAAACTTTCGTCCGATGGTGTTCTTTCGATCATCGTACCACAAATAGAAAAGATCGATTCGGTAAGCGAAAGAATAATTAATATCGAGCATACCGGCCAGCCATCGTGTGTACGCGATAACGAAGAGAAGAGTGAAAAAGCTGAGGTGAAAGAGAACGCGGAATGAAATTAAAATTCTGCATTGAATAATTCACCGACTTACTATCTTCATTGTTCTATGCAATTTGTAGCTTTTGTCGCGAGCACTGTTTATTTAATGTGATATAACAGGGAGACGCTTTAAATCGATTTAGATATATAGTTACGTATTTATTGGGAATCTGTATGCGTATTTATAAGACACAACCTATATTAACTTCGCAGTATCGTTTATTGTTTCTTAAAATTCTATGCTCATATTATATGAAAACATCGTGTAGTACATGTTTTTGGAATAACTATAGTACGCTTCTTTTGTATTACCAATATTTGCATTTTTTACAACAGTGTTACATTTGTGTATCTAAGTATTATTCTACCATGCTGTGTATGTTTAGTTTATTTATTTATCTATTTTTTATTTTGTTTAATATGTAGAATTGTTAACGTATTCTAATTTTAGTGGTCGAATGCATTTTCATAAAATTATATACACGAAACTATATAAACGAATGAATAAATTGGCCATATGTAACATAGGTATGAAGCTATATACCTAAACTATATATTATTACATGTTTTGCAAGCGATCGGTAATATAATGAAACAATAGGATACATTTATTGTAATTGTATTGACCATTGTAGGTTATGTGTTTAAATATAAATAGAATTTAATTTATACAATTTGTATGATAAATATAAATGTTCGAAGGAAAATTGTAATTTATTCAGTATTGTTAAACTTAATTTTAATAGGATATTTACAACAGTATTAGTTTAAACATATATATATATACATATATACACACACGTTATTAAACTGTTGAATAAAAAATCACTCGGAATAAATGGTACTTTATATTTTTGATATGTTAAGCTTTACTAAAATTATTTTGTAAAGCGAATTAAAGATGATTATATATACATTTTTTTATAATTTTAAAATAGAACAATAAATGTGTCACGTTTAATACTATTATTTTTATTGTAGCAGGTATTAAAATATATAATGTCGGTGTTGTTAATTAACCAAAAAATATAACCTTTCATAGTATTCCTGTACGTAATATGTATCCCCTTTAATATAAATACGATTACATTGAACGTATCTAAATACCTTGACTATAACCTATATATATATATATATATATATATACACATACACACACACACACACACATGTAAACATAATGTGTTCTTACACGTTTGTTTCTAACAAGGTAAGTAGTAATTTTTTCTTGTGTCTTCTAAAACAATTAATTTGAAATATATCAGTGCTTAAATTCCAAGTGAAGTGTGATATTTATTCTAAAAATAATACATTCGAAATATTACATGGAGCATCATATGGGTTATGTTTCCATTATAACACGAATAATTCATATCAAGTCTAGACGCTTTTGAATCAGCGCGCATAACCTGTTCTACATATACTCTGTCAACGTATTTCAAAGGCAGCAGTGACACAGAACGTTAAAACTGCCGGTTATGTTTACATTACTTTGCGCAGGCCCGTTAGATAGAACTAACCTTTGTTACGAAAAAGACGGTTGCATTCAAGGACAATTCTGGTGTTTTCCAGGGTCTTCTCGAATACTTGTTGGCAGTACCCCCACCACTCCCTACTACACAGCGAATCGTATAAAGCGAACTGCGTGGTTGCCGACAGTTGATTCACGTGCGAGCGATATAACGGTCCGGCCAGATAATAAGCTAAAATAAATCTGCAATTCATATGTATTACATAACATTAATTGCAAAAACAAACATTTTAGCAACCGGTAATTAGATAAGGCATTTGAAGCAACTACGTTCGAAAGTGCGGAAATATTCTCAGTACGATATTTGTTAGTGTGAATTGACATTAAAGATAGTTATACAATGTCGCTAATACCGATGTTGTTTTCTGACTGGTGGGAGGATTTGGATCAACCACATCGTCTTTGGGATCAACATTTTGGCACAATGGTAGATCCAGATGATCTCAATGATTTGGATTCTCTCGGTACAGAAGTCCTGCTCTATCGACCGCAAAGACGCGCCAAAAGACGGTATCATCCTTTCTTAAGGAGCTTGACCAGACGATATGGACGTGGAACGTCAACTGTGCAAGCTGATAAAGATAAATTTCAAGTAACATTAGACGTATCACAATTTAAACCAGAAGAAATTAACGTTAAAGTGGCAGATGAGAAAGTCATTGTCGAAGCAAATCATGAAGAGAGGGAGGACGAACATGGCTGGGTGTCCAGACATTTTGTCAGAAAATATATTATACCGTCGCAATGTGATGTCAGCAAAGTGGAATCACGTTTATCTTCCGATGGTATTTTATGTATTACGGCACCTAGAAAGGAGACTTTGAAACTTCCTTCGAACGAAAAAGTAATAAAAATACAATATACCGGTGAACCAGCTTTGGCTAATTCTGACGAGAAGCTAAAGGATGATAATACTCCAGCCTCGCAGAAAGAACAGCAGAGTCCGCAAAAGGGACAACAACAACAACAACCACCACCACCGCAGTCACATCAACATCAACGTGTTAGAAAAGGCATAATTAAAACTACATAAATCATGTTCATTATTCTTCATTTAATTATTCATTTCAGTTATTATAGTTACTATTAATGTCATAAACATTAATGCGTAATATTTTAAATATTATATGACAAGCATTACACATTGTACTCGAGTATAAGATTATATATAAGTACAAAAGAAATCGAAAAATAAATTTTTGTATGGTTTTCTTTAAAAAATAAAGTATTCTTTTTTATTTAATAAACCTGTATTAATCTCTCCTCTTTCAAGTTTTTAAACATCTCAATTTAGACTCAGTAAAAATACATAATAGTAGTAATTTCGCTTATTACGTTTCATAGAAAAGTACTTAAAAAATTTTTAAATACGACTTATTAATCAAAATATTGCTAAATACTTGATGGAATCTTTTGATATTAAAAATATAGAATCAATGATTGTTATTCTAGTCAAAAAATTTCGTTAAATCTATTTTTAATATTATTAATTGTATAGTTATATTACACTATCCTTTTCTAAATATATTCGAATATAAAACTTTCAATTTTACTTATTTCAATAAATATATATTGCTGTAAAATACTTCGCATGTATTTCAAGAATACCTCCCAAATAATCTAAAAATACCTTCGTGAATATTCGTAAACCAGACGGTTTATTATTCACCTTTTAGTATTCACATTTAAAGATGCTTCGATTTGTTACTAGAAGCATCTAGAATTTTTTCGAGTACACTGACCTGTACGATAAGCTAAGTGCAGTATGTGGGCTTGCAGCCAGCACATATAAACGAACAGCTTAGAAACACCGAGAAGGATCGATTTTGAACTGTGCAAGAATAGATTACGTATGCATAGCGAATAAAACTTTTGCTCCAGACATTGATAGCATTCGTCTGTCATAAATACTAAAGTTTTAAGTCTAATCTAGGGTCTAGAATCTACAATTTAGAGCCTTAACTTTTAGAATAAACATATTTGTAAATGCTTAATATAAGAAACATAAAGAAAAAAGCAATATTGCTAATTAAATTAACCTCAAGTAGAAAAATAAAAGCATATATAGGATTGTTTGGATTATTTTCATTTTTTAGTAACAATTACGAAGGAAAAGTTTAATAACGTGCACAGAATTATAACACATTGTGTTTTAAAAAGATGCATACATATGTAATACAATACACCGAGAATATGATTCTTCAAGCAACAGTTTGTTGACATGCTAGGTTATTCATATGCACGAAGGTATTTACATCGAACTTATGAATATGTCGAGATATAAAGCCTTATAATGGATAGTTTAAATAGAAAATTAATGTCCTCTAATAATCTATATCTTCGATAATAATTATGAAATTTCAACAGTAGGATATAAAATATGTAAAATATATAAAATTGTATTTAATTATTGAAGAAATCGATGAATATCGATAATCTTTTGAAATAATTATTTTTCACGTTCCTACAATCTTTTATATTTTTTTATATTTTAATGTTTACAAATAATTAAATAAGTTAGATAAGATACAATATTTTTTACTTGAAACCTCTTAAAACGTTTGTATGTATGCAAGGATTTTATTGTACATGAATGCATAATATCAATATGATGTAATCAAAACGATCTTTATTAGATAAATCTAGAAAAACGTGGAACATTTCATGAAATCGTCCTATTATTAGGAGGTGCCAGTGATGACTAACCTTTATTCCAACATCATAATTTTCTGGCACAAATTGCATTCATGTAAGAGTCATAAGAACAAAATTATGCTCATTGTTATTTCGAAATAATATTAATTATATTCATTTTGTTGTTATCATGAAATCGTATAATTTATAAACACAGTAAATGAACACAAACACACGTGTATTAATACACCGGGTGCATCACGACCACCGTTTATAATAAAAAATTCCCTGTATTTTTCAAATTTATATTCAATATATAAAATTATTGCACACGATTGTACATTACATACATTTATAAACAATGCATGTGTCTAAAAATATCTCCGAAATAAATGAAAAATAGAACTTTCGCGAAAATGCTCGCGAATTTAGAATGTTCTGGAGACTCTATCGACCGCCAGCTGATGCCGGTATAAATACGAGCGCCGCGAAACGTAGCAACAGTATACTGTGAGCATCTCAAAGAGAAGTTTGAAAGTTGCAAAGATTTCAAAAGGCAAATCTTCAAAGAAGTCAACGAAGAATCTAAGAATATTATTTAACGTGTACTGAGTTCAATAATTCAGTTAAAATGTCTCTAATTCCGCTGTTGTTCTCCGATTGGTGGGAAGATCTGGAACGTCCACATCGTCTTCTCGATCAAAACTTCGGTTTGGGATTGTATCCTGAACAATTACTGAATCCGAACATTCTGGATCAGTATATTTTACCCAGCCGGGACCGACGACTGAGAAACCCTTTGATGTACTACAGACCTTGGGGTGAACTACTGCGAAAAAACGAAGGCGGAGGCACTTCTACGGTAAAAGCGGATAAGGATAAATTCCAAGTAATCTTGGATGTCCAGCAGTTCAAGCCAGACGAAATCAACGTCAAGATCGTTGATAAATGCGTCGTCGTGGAAGCCAAACACGAAGAGAAACAAGATGAACACGGTTGGATTTCGAGACAATTTACGAGGAAGTATATGATCCCTGAGCAATGTGACATCGACCAAGTAACGTCTAGTCTGTCGTCCGATGGGGTACTTAACATCACTGCACCCAGGAAGGATAAGCCAAAGGTTGAAAACGAAAGATCCATTACAATCGAGCAGACAGGCAAGCCGGCGTTGAAGAAAGCTATAGAAGAAAAGAGCGAAGAGGCAAAGAAGGAAGAAAGGATAGAGAATTAAAAGAATGTTCAATTAAGATATTAATGTGTCCAAATGTGTTCTACTGCTTACTCTTTTTTCACACTTGTTAAACTACATTTTGCAATGTAATTCGATTTTTGTAACACAGGTTTAAGCATGTTTATTAAGTACAATATTTAAATAAAATGTTATAAAATGTAATCTGAAAACTGCTTTTTATTTCTTTCAAATGTACTTTGTCAGTTTTTACAAAGATATTTAAAAAATTATATGAAAATATCTCTTTTAGCCATATAAAAAAATCCAAAGGCTGTTTTACATAATGTAATATAGATATTTCTTTGAACATTGTTCTGGAATAACATATGCATATTACGTATGTAATTGCAGAAAATTTTTATTTTTAGTGTAATATAGACTAAATAATTAGAAAATAAAGATAGTATATCGACTTACATATGTATCTGATACATATAAAATTACTTAAATGAAATAATATAAAGAAGTTATAAAATGATATGATATTATGAAATTCGATAATCATAGTTTTTGGACAAAAACAGGTTAGTAAAAGTATATATGCATATATTTGCAATTCCTATTAGAAGTCTTATTCATATAATACAATTAAAACATCATAATATATTTAATATTAATTTATAATTTATTATTTATTGCCAACCCACCACATTGTTCCTTTTTAATACATGGTTTTATATACAGTTAATGTAAAACTAACTTAAGTATTTAAAAATATCTTAAGTATTTCACCACAGAGCATTATATGGTTTAGAATTACAAAGATATAAATAAAACCAAGAGTTAGAGCCTATCATATTTTAAATTAAATTACATCGAATTTAATATTATTTTGATAAAGAAACAAAAGCAATGTGACATCGACCAAGTAACGTCTAGTCTGTCGTCCGATGGGGTACTTAACATCACTGCACCCAGGAAGGATAAGCCAAAGGTTGAAAACGAAAGATCCATTACAATCGAGCAGACAGGCAAGCCGGCGTTGAAGAAAGCTATAGAAGAAAAGAGCGAAGAGGCAAAGAAGGAAGAAAGGATAGAGAATTAAAAGAATGTTCAATTAAGATATTAATGTGTCCAAATGTGTTCTACTGCTTACTCTTTTTTCACACTTGTTAAACTACATTTTGCAATGTAATTCGATTTTTGTAACACAGGTTTAAGCATGTTTATTAAGTACAATATTTAAATAAAATGTTATAAAATGTAATCTGAAAACTGCTTTTTATTTCTTTCAAATGTACTTTGTCAGTTTTTACAAAGATATTTAAAAAATTATATGAAAATATCTCTTTTAGCCATATAAAAAAATCCAAAGGCTGTTTTACATAATGTAATATAGATATTTCTTTGAACATTGTTCTGGAATAACATATGCATATTACGTATGTAATTGCAGAAAATTTTTATTTTTAGTGTAATATAGACTAAATAATTAGAAAATAAAGATAGTATATCGACTTACATATGTATCTGATACATATAAAATTACTTAAATGAAATAATATAAAGAAGTTATAAAATGATATGATATTATGAAATTCGATAATCATAGTTTTTGGACAAAAACAGGTTAGTAAAAGTATATATGCATATATTTGCAATTCCTATTAGAAGTCTTATTCATATAATACAATTAAAACATCATAATATATTTAATATTAATTTATAATTTATTATTTATTGCCAACCCACCACATTGTTCCTTTTTAATACATGGTTTTATATACAGTTAATGTAAAACTAACTTAAGTATTTAAAAATATCTTAAGTATTTCACCACAGAGCATTATATGGTTTAGAATTACAAAGATATAAATAAAACCAAGAGTTAGAGCCTATCATATTTTAAATTAAATTACATCGAATTTAATATTATTTTGATAAAGAAACAAATAGAAAATATAATACTTCATATTAATTATTGCAAATAATATAATATATAAATGAAAAAATTTAATACTGTAAATATATTTTATTTACTATTTCATTCGTTGTATAAATTAAGATAAAATATTCTTCATCTTAATATTTCTGACAAAACAGAGTAATTACGGATTATCTTTTGAAATTGACGAAACTGCTTTATATTGATTATTATAAGATATTTTTATCAATTTACAATACTTAATTATTGTCAGTAAGTAAAACTGAATTTTTGGATTGAACATTTCTGTTGTAAGCACCATGAAGTATTACATATAATTTTTAATATACAGAATTTTATCAAGATTTTTTACAAATATTCAGATTATTCTGTTTACATGGAAAAACCGATGTTAAGGAACAAATGCATTATTACAATTAACAATTTAATGACAAATTTATTATAAACATCGTTTTTTCATTTATAAAAGCATAACTGAATTAATCTGAAGCATTTCTTTTGTTTATCCTTATTGAATGGAATTTGATAAACAAGTATCTCCTTCAAACATTTTTTCCACTACAGTCTTAGAATTTACAAAACATAAAATATATCGAGATTGTTAATATCAGCTATCCTTCAATACCTCTTTCAAAATAGATCCTGTATTTCTGGCTGGAATAAAGTCCGGGAATGTTGGTAAATTTACATTGGAAAGTAACGAAGTAGATTGTGTTGATGATGTAGATTGTTGTCTGCTATGACCAGGTCGTGATAACGGCTAGAAAAGAGAATAATTATTAAATAAAAAATTTCATAAAACTAAATAAATAAACAAGAAACTGAATGTCCTTACCGATGTTTGAATTGGTAATGCAGGTAACTGTGGTTTAGGTTTCGATTCATTTTCTAAAAATCTAACGAATGCTGCTGACAAAGACGCTTCATGATCCTAAATATATAATATAATATTTATGAATAATAATTAATCGTGTATTATGTTTAATATTTTTTATGAGATAATATTTATATAGTTATATCGTCAAGTTTTATATCGCATATACGTGATCGATATTATTTACAATCAGCGCTGCCATTTCGATATCTCGCAATAGTAGTTCAATTGTAAGACGCGCGAATGTGTCGTACCGTGTGCTTAGAGTCGTTTAATTACGTTTATTTCATGTGTGTGTTAGTGAATAACTTTGCATTGTGTATTAAACAACTATACAAAGACTTATTGTGAAAGAAAAATTAAGTTACCTTGTTAGGAATTGTAGATCCACCACTTAAACGAGAAAACCAACTATTTTGCGCTACTGCGTTGTTCAATCCGGCTTTATCCTTCTCTGCTTCACTGAACTCCAAAACTGTAGAAAACACTCTGAGTACAGAAGATTTATCTGCTGCAGATGAAGACAGGTAACCCAATAAAAGATTTTTTATGAGAGTTCTGAAAAAATAAGTTGATTTCATACAATTTGATGCAATTTTCATACAAAGAAATACATAAATTTCGTAAATTATTTATAAATTACGAAATGGACACTAACTTATCAACTTTACTCTCTCCACTTAGTTTTGCCTCTTCTATTCTGTGATCAGCAGTGTTTACAAGATTTGTTAGTCGGTCCACTATAAATATATGATAAATCATATAAGAAAGGAGTAATAAAAAGGGCAGTCAGTAGATATAAAAAAATAATTTTTCTATTATCAGATAGCAATATGCTTAAAACTATAATATCACTAAAATTATTAACTGATTAAAGAAAGGTTTAGCATGCTGAATGTTTCATTTCTATATATGTGCATTCCAGCGTTGTAAAGTTGGCAGATTTGAAGGTCGAAAAGACATGAGCGTAAGTATAACACAAGTACTGGTTGTCTGAATATTACACCAGTACCTGATGTAATACTCATACCCATGTCTTAATTGCTCATGCTGCATTCTCCATTTATCATGCCATACTAGCAAAATATGACGCATGCCACTAGAAGTAAGAAAGCTATACTAATACAGTAATAAGTACCTTAGTATGTTACAATACATTACATTAGAGTACAATAGCTATCCTGGTATCATTCTATTGAAATTCTTTACAAATAAAATTATACATTTCATCTTACAAATTAATATACTTTAAAGTGTCTACATAATAAGCATAAGATAATTTCATTTACACGAGGTACTATAATACTAGCATAAATAAAGATATTAATTTTAAATTTGGGAATTTGGGAATTGACTCTTACAAAAATCAAATCGAGTTATAACTCTAGTAATATTAATAATAAATAATAAAATAAAAAGTGTACATTATAGATAGCAGAATAAAAACTTTCAAATACATTTTTTCATCCTTGTAGGATAATGGTAACGGGTGGGAAACCCCACGAGGTAATATGAGCTTTTACAATTTTCACGCTCATAGTTACCGCATGAGATTACCCACACTACCGCTACCAAATTTTATGTTTACACAGATCTGCTTATACGTTACATATTATTTCAATATACGTACAATTAAATGTCTTAGTTTATCTGTGATGTATTTCAGTGCTTAGTAGTTAAGTTGTACTGAAAGTTATGGAAATACGTAGTCACTATAGAAATATATATTTCGTTTACAGATTTATGAGTAGCATAATAAATATGCTATTATAATTAGTATTGAAAATGCTATCAAAATGATTATAAAAGTACACATATAGTCATACATTACAATTATATCATTTAGTAACTTAATCTCATAACACAATGATCTTGCAAATTTATAGTAGCTAACATTGATTCTTGAGGTCTAAGAGATTACAACGTTACCTAATGTACAATTTTTATATTATATGTGAAGTAACAAACCTTTAGCATAAATTGAAATAAAAAAAAAATAATTTGATTGTCAGGTGCATAAAACGAAGTTTAATAATATAATACTACCAATATAACTTTTAATAATGTGAACAAACAATTGTGGCACATTAAATTAGAAAATATAATTAATTACACGTAAAGAAAAAAAAATCATACAACAAAATCTTTTATTTCTGTGCTCTTGTTGTCTAGCAGTAATTCATGTTAGTAAATAGGAATTTATATTTAGAAAAATAGGAAAAGATAGTACCAGCACCAGTGGCAATGCATGAGCCAACGAAGATGTGATTTAGTGCGCTAAGGCGATTGTCCAGTTCGTAGCCGGATACCAGCAAGAATCCTGGGCTATTGTCAAAATCCCAGAATTACCAGCTGATATTTGACTACACCACCAGATTGTTTGTGTGTTTGCATTTTGCAGATTAGTCACAGGTCACACTCAAACTGATGATAATAGGGTGGAATTTAACCATTTCACCAGTGCATAAATTATAATTAGAACGCGTGATACTTAGTGTATAGGCAAGCTGTTGCGGTACCAAATTCTTTTGCATAAATTTATCGCATGCGCTTCCCTACTTTGTACAAGAAGGAGATTTCAAGTGATCCAACGTATTCTTTATCCAACGCACTCTATCACTTTTCATGTTTGTTATTCTAGTATTAATACTTTTTGTATTATTTACAGTATATGATCGGTAATGATTTTTGGTTTATCATTTTCTATAGTAATCAAAACTGAGAACATACTCTAAAGTATTTATAATTTAATCTAAATACAATATATTTGATAAAATCAAGATTATATGAGAATAATTCATTTGTATATTTGTAGTATATTAAATAATTGTATATTTAATAATCATGAACATATTTTCAAATGCAAGTGAAAATAAAAGACCTAATATAAAGGAATTAATATAAAAATTAGTGAATTATTCTCAATATGATCAAATTTAATATTTTTTGTTGCAGCAATTCAAATTTTAATAATTAAACAGTATCAAGTTTCATTCTAACTAAGAAATTAAAATATTTGCAATATTTTTAGCTTATTACTAGTTTTAATTTCATTTGATAAACTGTATTAAAAATCACACACAAAAATCCCGAACATTCGTATTCCACACCAATGAAGCCCATGTGCGTATTACTTACTTACGTCTAATAATAATTTTCGAAAATGATATTAGCTGATGCGTTTCAAAATTAATCACATCAAATGCACGTATTATCTTTTTTGCAACATTTGGAACTACTAATTTTTTTCATGAACGTATAAAAACTGCGTGAATTCATGTAGCATAATCATGCGAAATGTAAAAGAAACAAGATGCAGGCATATATGATACTTTATAGTAATAATAGAATTGTGTACCTTCTTGGCTTAGCTGTTCAATACGTTCTGTTTTTTTATCAAGTTGCTCGCTTAATCTGGATGCTGCTTGCAAGCATTCTTTAGCTTCAGCTAATTGTTCCTATTAACAATTATTAAAGAATATCCTATTAATAATTACTTTACTCTATAATTACTCTAGTAATTATCGGGCAACTTAGTTTTTATAATGCTATATGTTGATATATAAATATATAAATGTACCTTAAGAACTATAACGTCATTGGCTAATTCTTCTTGTTTCTTGTGGGACTCGGTTAGCTTAGACTGAATTCTTTCTGTCGCCATTATGATATCTTTCTCCTTGTCTACAAATGTGAATACAAATTTATTTATTTATTATCTAATTTCCATTAACAATAATCGATAATTTCTTACAATAAAATATCTCCAATTACCTCGTTGAAATTGTTCCAAGACAATTTGCAAATTAGTCAATGATGCAGTTTGTGAGAGAATTTTATCTTCAGCACTGGACAGCTTATTTTGTATGTCATCTCTTTGTTGAATAATTAATGCCATTTGTTGCTGCAATGTTTCCACTTGTTGATTCGTCCTTATACTTGCAGAAGTGTACGCATTTGAATTAATTTTCACTTTTTCTTCAGCTTGCTGTAGTTTTGCTTCTAACTCCTTTCGTGCTTCCTCAGAGACCAAAGCATCTTCCGTGTAGCTTGCTTCCATGTCAACCAAATGTGTTCGTAGCCTTTCTAGTTCTTTCCCAGCGCTTGCTTCTTTGCTCTGACTTTCTTTCAGTTGATTCTGTAACATTCTGTTGTTCGATTGCTCTTGAATCAGGGCTGCCTCTAATGCATTGCACTTCTCGGTAAGAACCCCAATCTGTGCAATCTGAGTCGAATGTTCGACAATCCCGCAAGTTTCCTTGGGGTTCAATTCTTCAGCATTTCTCAAACGTTGCTGTACCGCTTGCAACTCGTTCTTCGACCACAAAAGTTGAGCATCCTTCTCCCTCAGTTCAGCTAGATTAACGTCTTTCTCTGCAAGCAAGCTCTGAATTTGAGTAGTTTGCTCGTTGAATAGGTGTGTTAACCTTTGAATTTCACCATGATATTGTACACTTTCATTATGTTTGATGGTTACAAGCTTCACAAGCTCGTCCCTTTCGTTCTGTATGGTCGCGATGTGATTCGAAATTTCTGTATTATTTTTCGCAAGATCGAGTTCATTTTTCAGCCTACCGATTTCTTCGTCCTTCTCTTTGATAAGATGAGACAGGCTCTCTATCGTTTCCTTGGCCATAGTGGACGATTCTGTATGGCTTTCTATGACCTCTTGTAATTTCTTTTGCGAGTTCGTGATCTCTGTCATTAATCTACTGTTATCATCCTTCAAGCTATTATTCTCTCGTGTTTTTTCCTCTAAAAGAACTATAATTTCTTGCTTCTCGTTATCACAGACGTTTTCATTAATACGATTTAATAACTCCTTTTTCTCTGCCTGAAGGCATTCGATGTCGTGTTCCAGTTTCCTGCAACTATCCTGCACCGTTTCGTATTCGCCTTTCAGCGTTTTATTTTCTTCAGATACTACCGCGAAACTCTCTTGTAACTTTTGCAATTCCCTTTCCCTCAAACGCAACGTTTCCACCTCGTTCTCCAACTGAGCATAATCGTTTTGCATCGAGAGTAACTTTTCAGTCGATTCACTATTCGACTCCGTGTATTTCATTACCTCATTCTTCAGATTTGTATTCTCTAATTGAAGCTCCATATTGGCTTCTTTCGTTCGTCGGTACTCGCTCGTGAACGTCTCGTGCATTGCTTCCGTCCTCTCCAATCGTTTCCTAACATCCTCTAATTCTCCCTCCCTAACCATCATTTTCTCCTTCAAATTTGACCATACTTCCTCCAGCGAATTCTTTTCCCTATTTACAATAGCAATTTTATCGTTGCACTTGTCCTGAATGTTAGTTAGCTGTTCCAACAAGGAACTATTCTCCTTCGTCAAACTTTTGTTCTCTTGACTCAGTCTAGCAATGAAACTCTCCTTGGAGTCTATCTGGTCGAATGCCTCGTTCAAGTCTTTACTCATGTATGCTAAATCGCGTTTCAACCTATCACTGTCGCTATTCAGCTTGTTCACTTCTTCCCGAAGATCTTCCAACGTATCCTTATTCCCTGTCTCTGAGTTGTTCTCACGCCATTGCGAGATCTCCGTCTCTAACTCCTTATTTCTCCGGGACAGTTCCTCGTTCTCTCTGTGGACCCCGTTCTTCTCATCTTGCAGGAGAGTCAAATTGTTCTCCAATTGTTTCGCGTTAGAGGTTGACGTCTTTAATTCACGCCTCGCATTCTCCAGGTCGAGTTTCAGCTCCTCGATGAACTCGATGTTCTCGTCCAAGCCTTTGCACTTCTCCAACGACATTCTCAGTTGTTCCTGCGTCTCTTTCACCGTGCTCTCCAATAGCTCGACTTTCTTCCTCAATTCGTCATTCTCGTCCAGAGCTGTGTGCAACCTCCGTTTAAGATTCTCCATGGTGTTGAAGGTGTCCTCGATATCCTCCGGAATATTTTCCAGTCTCTCTGATATCTTAACCCGAGACGCAGCCGCCGAGTGGGCCTGATTCTTCAGACGCGTCTCGTTTGGACCAGTCCCTCGTAGTATCGTGTTTTTCTTTCTCAACGAGTTTTTCTTTCGCAACGTGGCATTCTCCGTCTGAAGACGCTTCACCTCCTCGTGCAACGAATCGATCTCCGATTCCAGCGAGGCGACGCGTTCCTCGTTCGCCTCCGGTATGGACGGTAAATTTGATTCTAAATCTTCGATCTCCTGCAACAGTATATCGATATGTGACTGTTTAATGTTGCACTCCAGCTGCAGATCTTCCTTCATCTCTACAACACCCTTTAGCTCCCTGTTCAGCTCCGACACCCATTTCTCCACCACGTCCTTCTTCCACTTCACGTCGATGTACTGCCTCGCCAGGGTCTCGAAAATCGACTCGTTCGTCTCTACCTCAACAAAGGAACCCTTCAAAATGTCCTTTACCTTCTTGGTTAATTCGTCGACGTCGCTTCTCGCCGCCTGCTCCTCGCTCGTTTCCTCTTCTTCCGATTCCGGTTCATTCGTCTGCACGTGCTTGTCTACGTTCCCCAAGCCGTTAATCTGTACAGAACGGGAGACAGCTTCTGTCCGTACCGGCTTGCCAGGTCCAGCTAGTTTACCTTCCAATTCGGCCACCTTGTCCTGGGCCTGGTTGTAGTCTACGTAAAGTTGCTCGTAAGCGTGTTGAAGGCACTCGTGTTTCTTCTCGATCTCTTCCTTGAGGGACAACAGTTTCTCTACGGATTTAAGAAACGATTAATCATTGATCGTTCACGGTACATCGAGTTTGCTACGATCGATCACTTCCATCTGATATCGGTATAACGCGATTGTCGGTCGTTACGCTGCATTCGCGTGACGATCTTTCAATTTAACCCTTTCGTTACTATAATACTATAACTATCCTAGTTCAGCATCGACTGCTCGCTATGCACACTGAGGTGACCCGAGTCGAGTGTATGCTACAAATGACTATTGGTACCGAAGGTGGAGTGCTCGTTGGATATCCAACGTAAATGCTTGTTAGATGCTAGGGTATAGTCACCTAATGTCGCGCGTTTATTCTATGCTAGAGGATTTTATAGTCACTCGACGTTGAACGCTCATCGAGTACTAAAGATAACTATCCTATTACCTAACGCATAGTGTTCATCGTATATTAAAGGCGTTTACAATTGCCTAGTTCAAAGTTTCCAAGGTTCCAATTTTTAAAGTTTATGTCAGAGGTGACTGTAGTCATCCAAAGTCGAGTGCTTTCTGTATACATTTAAGGTGACTATAGCATTACGGTGTGGAGTAGTCGCTGTACTGTAAGTAGTCATTGAGCATGAAGTGCAGCCACCTCTATGCTAAAACCGACGATATTCGATCATGGTTTAAAATATCGCATTGGTAATTACGTTACTAATTTAATCATCTCTTTCGTCCAATTGGAATTTTACTATTCTTAATCTAAAGTAGCTTATAAGTAGTTAATACACAGATCATATACATAGGAGCAATTCGATGGTAAGGAAAGGGTTAATTAGAATTACCTGACGCTACATTTTCTCGGGGGTAACGATTATTCGGAGCTACATGTAAAAGTATCTGTAAATATTTTACGTGTTGACTTCTGAAAGCGGTATAGAAGGTTGTTGCAGATTAAATAATAATTGAACACTGTCTATCGTCGGATACGATTACTATCAAAATGAAAATGAAAAAAGAATTCGATTACATACTTTACATAATAAATATACAGAGTGGTTCATTTCACGTTACCATTTCGATTTACGTCACCATTATCACCCACAGCGAAGAACGATTTTATACAAAAATTGCATACTTTCGAGGACAACATATCTTGATGTTACCAATTTGCTTTCGCGACTGGGAGCTTGGTTTGCGGGTTAAAGGAAGATAAAATTCGACTTTCACGTGTCCATCTTCGAAAAACTGAACAATATGGAACGCCTCCGTCCACTGGAAAACGTTCGGCACTCGTTTGAAACGCTTTTCACTGCGGATAATAACAGGGACGCGAGTCGAAATGTTAATACCGGGTGAAACCAGCTTGTCTAACGTGCTAAATTCGCAGAGAAATTTAGAGAAAATACCGTGGCATCAGATAAAAAAAGGAAGAGTTAACGATTCGTCGAAAGTTTCACGCATACCTATCGATTCCTCGTGCTGCTGATCCAGTTCTTCGACACTGGCGAACAGCGTTTTGTTTTCTTCCTGAAGTTCCTCGATCTTCTTGTACAATTCGGATTCCATGTTGCTCGAGGCTTCGATAAATCCATCGTGACGGACACGATTCTTCGAGTTCACGTCGAAATTGGTCTTGAACGCGACGGGTTCGTGGTCGACGGTGTTAGGCCTCTTAAACTTCTCGTCGAAGTCGGACTTCTCTTGCTTATTAGCCTCGCTGTACTTCTCGTTCTCGGTTTCCAGCGCTTTTAGCGCGCCCCGGACTAAATCCAGCTTCTCGAGGGAGTTCAATTTGGACAGCACCGTACGGAAATCGTTGATCAACGCCGCTTCATCCGATTGCATGCGTTTCGAGTTCCTCTCGGCCTCTCGGCTCTGTTTCGCATAGAGAAGAAAATTTTATCTCGCGTTTTTCGTCCATGATTCGATTTCGAGTCGAGTACTCGGAATAATAGAAAGATTGAATCTTGTTCTTGTTCATGTACGATTGTTACATACGTTTTCAAAATTTGTCCCTTTTAGGCGTGTTGCCTTTCTGTAGCTAACGAGGGGTATAACGCCCTCTGGATATTAATGGGGATTTTCTAATTATCGGAATAAAGAAATAAAGAAATTTTTGGATTTTCCAATTTTCGAAGCTTCGAATTCTTGAATCATCGAATTTTTGAGTTCTTTATATTTGGAATTTTAGAACGTTCGAATTCTCGGGTTCTTGAATCTTTGAAATCTCGAATTCTTGAACTTTTGAATTGTTGATGCCTCGAATTGTCGAGCCTTTGAATTCTTGAATCATCGAATTCTTTAATTGTTTTTATATTTTGAATTTTCAAACGTTCGAATTCTCAGACTTTAGAATTTTCGAAATCTCGAATTCTTGAACTTTTGAATGATCGAATCTTCGAATTGTCGAACCTTAAAATTTTCGAATAGCCGAATTTTTGAATTCTTGATATTTAGAATTTTTGAACCGACGAGTGGTCGAATCATCGATTTTTTGAATTCTTTATATTTGAAATTTTCGAACATTCGAATTCTTGGATCTTTGAATCAGTTAAGCCTTGAATTTTTGATCCTTTGAATTGTCGAACCTTTGAGTTCCCGAATATCTGAATTCTTGAATTCTTGATATCTAGAACTTTTCAAGTTTCAAATTGTTGAACTCTTAATATTTAGAATTTTCGAATGGTCGAGTTCTTAGACCTTCGAATCTTCGAAGCCTCGAATTTTTGAATGTTCGAATTCTACAACCTTCGAGTTCTAGAACCTTTGATTTCTAGAATCATCGAATTCTAGAACTCTCAAAAACTCGAACCTTCGAATTTTAGAACCTTCAAGTTCTAGAACCTTTGATTTCTAGAATCATCGAATTCTAGAAATCTCAAAATCTCGAATCTTCGATTTCTAGAATCATTGAATTTTAGAACTCTCAAAAACTCGAACCTTCGAATTTTAGAACCTTCGAGTTCTAGAACCTTTGATTTCTAGAATCATCGAATTCTAGAAATCTCAAAATCTCGAATCTTCGATTTCTAGAATCATCGAATTTTAGAACTCTCAAAAACTCGAACCTTCGAATTTTAGAACCTTCGAGTTCTAGAATCATCGAATTCTAGAACCTTCTGATTCTAGAACCTTCGGATTCTATTACCATTGATTTCTAGAACTCTCAAAATCTCGAACCTACGAATTTTCAAATTTTAAATGAGAATATTTAAAATTCCAATGATACTTTAAAATATTTTATGGTGATCCAGAATACCTGTTTAGGAAACAGGGGTTTTTCTTGGGTTTCTAAAGTTAGAAAGACCCATTCCTATTCGAAACCTATTCGACATCGATATTTGCGAGCGTATATCAAACATTCGAATGAATGGATTAATTAAACGAAAAGAAGTAATAGATACTTTTTATCAAGATGGTGTACGCGTTCTATTTTAATCCAGCACTAAAATTTCTGTGAAGGTATCGAATTTTATTCCACGAGAGCTAAACAAGCACCTGTTCAAACATTTAGAAGCGTTTAAATTTCAGTTGTTATGCTCGTGGTGTATAAGATTCATTAGTGTTGCGTTAACAGTTGACAAAAATAACTATCTTCGCGCTCGACGATTTGCTTTGTTTGGCCAGCTTGTCGCCTTTAAATAGGTATTTAGGGTTATCGTTTGAAATACAGCGACTCGAGAAATCGTAACAGGGAATTCGATTCCTTTCTTTCATAGCGGAACGAAACATTTTATTTTCATAATCACGCGTTGCACCGAAATCCTAGTTTAGTCCCGAATTTGTTTGATCAGACACGGTGAGTCACCAAGAATGCTTCTTAATCATGCTAACATACTCGAAGGTCGAAACATATGGTTCGAGTTATCAAGAACAAGATTCTAGCTTCCTCTGATTTATATCTCTTCGAGATGCATCCTTCTCTTGTCTCATCTTTACCAAGCAATACTTGTTGTGTTACCTTTTCTTCCATTCGTATTATACGATTCATCATGTCCTGCTTGGCCCTTATGAACTCCGCTTTTTGGTGTTCTTCGGTGAGTTCATCCTTCAAGGAGGAATTGTTAACCTGGAGACAATAATTGTAAAAATAATTTCATTTTTCCTTGCTCGAGTTTAACAATATTATATTACAAACACCGTACCAAATAATAGTATGAAAATTTATGCTATACTACGTATAGTATTTGTACATATAGTATATGTATATTTTTACATTACTATAGTATGCTATATACTAGCATAACAGATTTTTAATAAAAATAACATAATGTTGTTTACAATAATATTTAATAGCCCATGTTTAACTATTAATTATAATTAACTATATTTAATAAATTAATAATAGTATGTATATAAATTAATAAAATATATAATAATATAGCATAACGTTATTTATATTATAGTATGTATATAAATTAATAAAATATATAATAGTATGAAAATTGATGTTATACTATATTTTTACGTATAGTATACATATTTTTACATTGCTATAATATGCTATATACTAACATATTAGATTTTTACACTACATTGCAATATATTTTATTTCCATAATATAACATAACGTTATTTATGATAACATTTAATAGTCTATATTAAACTATTAAATATACCAAATTATATCTAATACATTAACCATTAACCCTTTGTACTCGAGAGGTGCCAATTGATAAAATTTCGAAGCTCGATATCAATTAATATATCAAATTCGAGATAATGTAACAGTGTACGAGGTATCGAAATTAAATAATTCTACCTGTTAATTATTATACAATTTCTTACTTACTGCTAGAAAAATATCATCAGCCTCATATCAGAAAATTTTTCAACTCGTATACCTCTTTAGCCAAAAAATCGTCGAGTGCAAAGGGTTGAATATATAAAATATTACTTAACAGTTAATATAATATTATTTGTATTAATCGTCCATCATTTAGATTCGATCAAATGACGAAAAAATATTTTCAAAAATAATATTATCATACTGCTGAATGAACCTCATTTATTATTGTATAAAGCGTACGAGGGTTTTGGGGTTTCACTCTCAATGAGGCCACATTTTAAAACATTATCCTCCACGAATAACGTTATACAAAGCAGTGTTATAATTGCAGAACGAAACGCTTATTGTTAAGTATTAAATTTGTAATGCTAAAATAAGATACCGTTGAAAATAGAAATGCAATATTTATGAACACTCGCCATTTATCAAGAGATCTCGATATCCAATTTTGCTAATTTCTACAGGCCAACGTCGCGTTATTTTTATTTTATTAAAATAACTTATCACGGAAATGTCGGTTTTCACCTTCGGCAAATGTAAAAATAAATACGCATAAATTTCTTTCTTCAAAGCCTTATAATAACATTGCACGTAGAACTTCCAAAAGCCTAATTATAGCGTTTCATTCCGTTAATGTGCAAATCTAATATACCATAATTGATTCAAGAACTCGTTAAACCAATTTCTCCTATTTCGTATCCCATTTTAAACGAACGCAAAAATTTTCTGCCAATAATTTAATTTCAATTCAAATATTCCACTCATTCGATGGATAAATAGTAGAATAATTTTTCAGCGTAAAGCAGTATCTTTAACATGTCAAATATAACGGCACGTTAATTATTATATTATAAATAAGTGAAAAGCATTTATAGTTGAACAATTTCCTGTCTCTCGCTAATTATCCAAATTTTTGCACCAATTATTCCACAAATTCGTTTCCCAATTAATTCAGACAATCGACATCGCACTGCTCTTTAACCAGTTAGCTGTGGCGCCCCCTTTTGAGAGCGCGCACCTCTATGTGTCGCGAAAATCGAGCGATGACGAGTATACTCGTCAATCACGGAGTAAGTGTCGCTGTTAAAATATTGGATCAAAAGGATGAGTTTATTTTATAAAATTAACAATTTTATTACTGATATTTACTTATTTGGTTAACATCTATTCTCTTATTGGTTAGTTTTTATGGATATCTATGAATTTTAGTGACCGTCGAAAAATAGCTGGGTAACTTCGGGACAGCAGCCATCAATGGGCTCAGCGCCTGGTCAACGTCACGCATTTGTCCCATGGCGAACCATCCCTGATGGAACCCTATCATAAATCAGCTTTCCGACTTATGCTTTTGCCCCTTTTACGCTAGCATTTAAAAAACGTTATCATCGCAAATAAATAAATTCGTTACGCGAACTGATAAGCTGTTTCGCCGGTGCATACAGGGACGTATGAGTTCATCTCAAATTATTCATATTTTTTATTTGTTCGTTTTATTCCGGCCTGGCCTCAAAATATTCTAAACATCTTGAAATTTGAGAATACGTTTTATTTTTCACAAAAATTACAATTTAAATAGCCAATGGTCGCTACTTTTTACGCATGACGAGTATACTCGTCATGACACAAAATCCTGCCACTTCTCCATGACGAGTATACTCGTCAATCACAGCTAACTGGTTAAATTATATCACAGGTATGCAAACAGAAAAAAAAAAAAATAGATTTAAAATATTTTTCCGAAATATCGATAACTCGCTGACATTTTTACGTTACGCAATTTGGAGAAACGGTAATAGTAAATTGCTCGTGTTACGCACACATTTCAACCAACAAGATCACAGTGATACGATATTGATCGAAGATAACGCGTAATGGCATGTGTTGTCACGTGTATATATGCGTGAAACGGATGTCGGCGCAGAGTTAAAATTAAACGCAATTACCTGAAAACAATTGCAACGGTAATTATCCCTTTTATGCTTAGTGGGACAGAGAAGACAATGCGATTATCAGGTACACGGGATAACGAAAATGTTATACTCGCGACGAGCATTTTTCACGTACGCATAAACGGTTTTCAGTTCTATCGTTTATTACCTGTTACATCATATTTCATTATTCCGGAAAGATATTATTAACCGTGTATAAAAATTTGGAATTCCGATTGCATACGAGGAAAATAAATTTAGGTAACAATAGGAATAACGGAATGGTCACGTAAAAATTTTCCTTCCCTTTTTAAATCTTACATTTGAAATTATAAATTATTGACTCGCGATATTTATTTATGCGAGATATACAGTGGCTCGAAATTTCAAGCTTTTAATAAAGAAAGTATGGATAAAAATTATTGGAATAATATTTATTATTTATTATATAATAATAGTTATTAGAATAATATTTTATTTTAAATGAATGCAGATTAAACGGTAATTTTGGTAATTCGAATTTCAAAATTATGAGAAACTATGAAATGGTTGAAATTCGAATGATTTTGTTTCGTGCACCGAGGTATCGATATTTTCGCGAAAATCTTGATCGATTGTAGTTAAATAAGATATGTACAAGTGGGATATAACAATACAGAAACATATCTAATCCAGATTCTTGTTCAAGAACATCAATATCTGAACTCTTTCTGGTTTAATCGTTCCTTTTTTATTATCGATTATAATATCGAAGATACTGAAAAGCTTTCCAGAGAATAATGTTTACGATAACGCGACAAAATACTCTTCTAATCGCCGATTTGATATTTTTTCTTATCTGCATTTCGAGGATTTCGAATTACGAGAAGAGTGCAAGTTTCAAGTTTGCTTGTCCAACTATACGTGCGTAATAATAATCGAAGTGGTATAGTGAAAATAAATATGATACAGGATTATATTTCTATTTCAATATTAATTTCGCTAAAAGCGATTCTATGTCTCGAGTAATTGGAATTAGAAGTCTGAAACGAGTCAATTTGACAAGTTTGTTAATTACATTGAATTAATTAAAAAGTAACCTGGATATTTTTGTAAAAGAGAAAAAATTTTATTATCTTATTATTTTATTATTATTAAATTTTATTATTATTTAAATAGCACGTTGATTATTTTCATTGATAACATTTTTCCATTTTGTAAACCGATCTAATACTGTTTTGTACTGATAAATAAAAGAACACCATCAACTGTAAACATTTAACGATATTAATTAAATATTCAATTGTTTGTCAATTTGTCAATTTGAATTCAACAAGGTTCTCAAATCAAATGGACCTTGGGAGACATTTTGTTACTGGCGGCCATTTTGAAGAAGTCGATGTATTTACCGGGTGACACGAAACGAATGTAACGATGTAAGGAACTATGAATAAATTCCATAGGAAAAGATGATAACGAAAATATTTCCTGGAAACCTAATTTCTTCGACGCAAGTAGTATACCTAAATAGATAAATAGAATGTATGGCACTTTACCTTTTGAATTCGTTTAACTTCAGACTCTAAATCCCTTATTTTCATGGTGGCTTGTGCCAATTGTTCTTGCAACTGCCGTACGTGGTTCTGACTTTTCGAATTTCGATTTTTCGTAGACGGTGGGTCCCAAAAGAAGAACACCTCATCCTCGCCATCTTGATTGCTATCGTTCTGGAAAAATAGGTTATCGAAATCAAAATACATTCTTGGGGTATTAAACATTTGAATTATTAAACAGAATTTGTGGATTTTATACGATTTGTCCGGGATAAAAATGATACTGAAAATTCAAAATCAATTAATTAAATTGAATACTAAATCTTGGAGTCATGGATTGTTAATCACCACCACACCGTGGCGCCACTAGCAAATTGAGTGTCGGTTACAGATAACCCTCTTAGTATTCAACCTTCATGCTCCTTATTGTGATAGTTATGGCAATATTTTCGATGTTTGGAAAATTAAAACGATACTAATTGACGTCATCAGTCTATGATGTTCGATCGACTCGAATTTCTTGTCTTCGATTCATGAAAATTCCTCCTGGTGATGTGTTAAGACTTTTATTATCTCATTTGGAACCTTAGATCGAGAGGAATCCACGTGTTCAATATTTCAATAGAAATCTTACTAATGATGTATCATAAAATCGAGTATTTTCTTCTGTATATCTAATGACTGTTGAATCACCGCAATGACTACTTGTGGCAATCGTGTTTGGATTAATATGTTCAGAGATGAATTGCAATTTTTAGTCATGATGTGTAAGTTTGTTTAGTTTTTCTTAGAATGGCTGTATATAATAACTCATTACTCTATACATAATTATATTGTATAATAACCATATACATTCATACACGAACTTATTCAACCGTTTACAAATGAAAGTTGCATGTTAAACTTAAGAAGAATGTTTCGAGATAATATTAATAAAATTAGAAAATAATTCAGCAATGTATACAGTATTTACGTACCACTGGTGTGTCACAATGGTATTCGAGTTCAACGTATAATAATAATTAAACACACTACTAACTAAAAAATAAGATAGCCTTAAGACGCTCTTACATAGAACACACTAGCGCCACCACGATTCGTAACTGTAACAAATATACTACATAAGTATCACATACAGAATATTTCGAATTTCGTTCGTAAAAATACAGATACACGTTTCGATATTATTCCTTTTCAAGTTTCGTAACTTTAAAAATCGAAATCTCAAAAATTTCCTTATTTCATGACCTGATGACTACGTTCATACCTCAAATCTGAAACCTTTTTCAATTTTTCAACGCACCATTTTCCACTTATTATTTTCCAACAACTGCAGTAAATAGTCTTTCAAACCGTTACTTCCCACGAGCACAAAATTTTGATTCACCATTTCGCTACTAACAAGTCTCGATCACTATCTCTAACCGAGAAACATCAGGCAGATATTAAACGAAGACGGTATCACGATCTCTCAGGCCAATTCGAATCGAAACTATAGTCTTTAGAAAAAAGAGGAAGAATCCCACGTTATCGTTGCATTACGTGCCGGTTACGCGATCGACTTGTCTTCTAATCGACATTAGAAAATGGAGTCGAGCACACCTTCAGGAAAGGCGGTTACCAGTTATCGTAACGACTATCGAGTTATACCCGAGATGCACCGGAGATGCGACTGCAGGCCTACGTCTCAACGACCAATTCTGACACGAGCAATTTTTCGCGGGAAAGGAAGCTCGCGATTACGCGATGATATCTCCGCGGAAAGCAAGTAGCCGTCGGATGCGCGACGAAAGAAGTCGAATCGAAGGTTCCACAGTCGGATCGCGTCGATCGGGGAATCCCGGCGGTCATGGCACGCATGCGCGCGACGCGTATCTTCGGTCCCAGTTGCACAGTGCCTAGACGCGACGTTTCTCAATTTGTACCAAAATTAACGTAACGGGATTTCCGAGGTCGCTAATCGCGAATTTAAAAACAAAATGGCAGCTGAATGCACGAAAAATCGTTTTACCAAAGACGTATTCGCATGGGTATACCATTATATGCGAACAGCAATTAAAATAATGCAGCCATTTTGTTTTTCGCGCTTTCGATTACAGATTTATAACCAGCGACCCAGGAAACCTGATTTTATCAATTTTCTTTCGAATCGAATATTATGTCGGTTATGATATTGACCGTGAGAATATGGCTAACTAAAGTATGAAAAATTCAAAAGATCGCAGAAAATTCAATACCCTGCAGATGCAAAGAAAAATAAAAAAAGGTCCCGTTCTTTCACCAGCCATACCTGAAACCAGATTATTCATTCCGTTCAGTCGTTCTAATTAACATTATTAATTCCATGCCACCGTTAGAACTCCATAATTGATCGCGAAGTTACTGTCAATCCTCTTCAAGAAAGATCACGCTTCAAAGCTTCCAATTTTTCATTAACATATCTCTAAGGAGCCTTCAAATTAGAATTAAATTTTCCTAGCAAATCCCAATCTAATAGTTTATAAATAAGATTTTGGAGACACGAGAAAGAATTCGATTAAATTCCGTTCGCCTGTTGGGGCAAACCCGCCACTGTGTTGCGGCCTGGTAGCCAGCTGTATGATTAGTAACTTGGGTATTGTGCGCGTTTACATAAGTATCCCGCGTGTCGCGAACAATGCAAGCAGCATGGCGCACCGTATAGCAGAGGCGTACAAACGCGTGCTGGCTCGCGCGGGAGAGAGACGGCGAGTGGCGCGGTGGTGGGGAGAGGGAGCGGGTGGTGGGGAGAAAAAGGGTCGCGTGGCAGGGATGAGGCGCTTATGTAATCGGAATTATGACTGGGCCACGGTTCTTGTCTTGCTGTACGCCGCGGTGAGAGATTAAAAAGGTACAGAAGGCGTAATTCGGTTTTCAAATTGCCCGCGCTGGCTGGAAAGGATGTCAAGATTTCACGGTGAATCGAGACCTTACAAAAGCCTTGTCATTCCATAGAAATTGCCATGATTATGTAACCGTTCGCCGGGGCTCTCACGTGTTCCGTACATATTTCGCCCGTTGTTTTCATCCATGCAAACGCGGCCTGAGCCTGGAACCTACACGGCTATCTTGATTCGATTCAATTCGCGCCGCTGATACGGAAGGGTAAATTGAATTCGAATCGAAATGCGTGTCGGGTAAATTGCGACCTCGTTTCTTCCTTTCTTTTCCTTCGTGCGTCGGTTCTTACTCGATAATTCGAAATTTGTTCCATCGTTTGGTGCAGTTCCAACGTAATGGGTTCAGATGGAAATCGTTGGTCTTGTAATTTCTCGTAATTAAATTTACGTGAAGTATTTATTATAGATATTCGTATTTTTAGAAATATGACGAATGTTGTTTTTTTAAGTATGAGAGTTTTCGTCGAGTATACCTAATTTCTTTTCTGGTTGTTTATTTATTATTTATTTATAATAAGCTCTAAAAAGGGTGAATGAATGAAAATCCTTGATCTCGCAATGTTTTATAATTACATTTAAATAATAGAGGACGAAATTGAAGCTTTTATTATAAATCAAAATTCACAGAAATGTATTGAATATTATTTTTCTGTGGGAGTTGTCGAATGTGCATAATTTCTTTTTTAACTGTTCATTAAGATTTATAATAAATTCCCTAGTTAATATTTCTTAACCAAAACCAAATTAATCTCAATATTTTATAATAAATTTTAACCAATAAAGAATAAAATTGAAGTATTTATTACAAATTAATATTTGCAGATATATACAGAATTTTGATAACGATATTATCGAATATTTATTCATTTTAACTCATTCAATTTAAGTAAATTTTATTTTATCATTAAACAATTATCACCCGATAATTGAAACAATTTTTAAAATAAAAAATTTTTATCATTACAAGCAACTGTATTAACTCGCATCGCAAAAATACTAAAAAACATTGCTCTAGCTACCAATTCAGAATAAAGTACATGACAGTTCGAATATTCGCTTCTTCATATTGGAAAATAATGCTACTTCATCATTGATAATAGCTACGACTTGTATTTTCCAAAGATGATATCACGACTTGAAGTATCTACATAAATATACTGTACATAAACGATATTAATTAAAGCAATACAATAGAAACAAAGAAGTATAAATAATTATGCTCCTATCTGAAGAAGAATGAACATTAATTTTGCTAAAAATGACTGCACGCTCCAATAATTTCGAAAATAAAAAATCCCAAACCAGTTATTTCGATACCCTTGATGGTTCCAGTGTTAAACTGAAACTCACAGAACAATATCTTCGGGGACCTGCATAGGTGCTTAGAAATAACTCGAAAATTTGGTAGCGGAAGTTCATAACGAGCTAAACTATTAACTGCGGCGAAAGAGAAGGAGGAAAATGGTTCCTTGCTTACAAAGATTCGTTAAGGCTTGATTTAAATTTCAAAACAGACGGTTGCGAGGAAAGAAATTAGCGAGGTTCGAAAGAGGAAGAGGATTGTTTGGAAAACGTAGAAATTCCTTTCGACCCGAGCCAACGGAGAAATAACTCTTGGTCGTCAATCGATTCGAAAGTTCGTCGTCGTGAATTACCATAATTCTATACAAATTATTCAATGAGCTGTTATTGTGGCCACGTATCGTCTTGACAAAAGACTACAAATAGGTTTTTAACCTACCATAAGTTTCCAGCATCGGGGAGAGGGGTAGGCGGAGGGGGCCGGTGGAAGAGGAAAGATTCACCTTTCGACCAGGCTTTATGCCGTCCAAAGTTCTTTCATCTAAAAGTCAATTCCTCGCCTACTCCAAACAGATCGTAAGTTTCCTTTTCGTCTCGAATAATACAAAAAGACGCGGCAACTTCACGGTTCCGGTCTGGCAAAGCTGCATCATCGCGTGACGTCATTTTTATTTGTAAGAAAGGATTTCGAGTTGAACCCTTCCCGTTTTCGAATTATTCCTTTTATCATACTTGACTGAAAATTATTTTTTTTCCTTTTAAGATTTTGGCACTGGAGTGTTGAATAATAATAGAAGGGTTCTGGTCCGTCAAAGCTGCACCGCGAGACGTCATTTTTATTTGTGAGAAAGGATTTCGAGTTGAACCCTTCCCGTTTTCGAATTATTCCTTTTATCATACTTGACTGAAAGTTATTTTTTTTTTTTTGCGATTTTGGCACTGGAGTGCTGAATA